ACAGGGTCTCACTAAATTTTCCAGACTGGCTTTGAACTTGTGAACCTCCTGCTTCACTCTCTCACCTAGCTGGCATTATGGATGTGTGCCACCACACCCAGCTTAATTTTAAGTTCTTGAATATCATTGAGATGGAACCAAATGATCTTATAGGCTAYGATAATCAAGTATAATTTCTAAACTCCAGAGGTTTTAGCAATATATTTGTTATTGCATTTTCTAACTATCATAGCTAGGTTGCCAATAATCTTGGTTCTCTCAGAGAAGAAAACAAATCAAAACTTTTAATAGTTTCAATTGCTAATTGCTCAGATCAGAAATTTGGTTTTGGTGTTAAATAAATGTAAGTACATATAGCCTTATGTTAATGCATGAGAAAAAAATTTTTTTTAAAGAGAGAGAGAGAGAGAGAGAGAGAGAGAAAGAGAGAGAGAGAGAGAGAGAGAGAGAGAGAATGAATTTTAATATTTATTTTTTAGTTTTCGGCGGACACAACATCTTTGTTTGCATGTGGTGCTGAGGATCGAACCCCGGCCGCACGCATGCCAGGCCACCGCGCTACCGCTTGAGCCACATCCCCAGCCCCAAGAGAAAAAATTTTAAAGCTGATATCATAAATGACAGTTTAGGAGAATGGGCCAATGTACACAATGAATGCCTAGAATATCTAATTCAAGTGAGCGGCCCTCTGTTCCCATGATGGTGGAATCACTAGCACAGGGCATAGATGCCATTAGTGGCATGTTTTAAAGGTGTAAGTGAACAGTCCTCTTCTTAATTTCCTGCATCTTATCCACGGCACACCGAACAATGTATTTTTATATTCAGTTTTGTTTCTCTGGATCTTTGTGTTTTATTAGTTTCATTGATTCTGAAGCATCCTTACTAGACCCTCATTCAACCATAAAATTTAACCCATAAAAGATACGTTCTCATCATTTCTAGTAGCATGAAGCTTATTTTATATTTAGCACCATTTTATTCACATTCTACTTCAGCGTAATATGTACATTGAGAATTTTTTAAAAATAAAACAACAAAAAAGCCACTTTTTTTTTTTTTTGCCCTTTTAACTTACTGCACCCAATCTTCTAGACATGGAACAGTGCCCATGGGATATATTAGGCAGATGTGGAGGTACATTAAATCCAGAGGTGCTACCGACACAGCACTCTCAGAGCAGTTTGGCATGGCCCTGTCACCCCACCATATCTTGTTTTCCTTTCCTGATCCCTTCTAGGTTCTGAATGATTAGTCATCTCACTCCCAGAATTGCTTCATTCCTTGAATTCCTTTTTGGCAAAGAATTCATATAGAATTTGAACAATGTGTAACTTTTTGTTTGTTTGCTTCCAGCAGCACCTATTAACTACTTATTTTTTTTTTTTTGTTACCCTGAACAAATTTCCATTCCTTTCTCCAGAAGTCACTCTGATCATAGATAGTCAAAGCAGCTTCACCAGGAAATCATGTAAGTAAATAATATGCTCTCAGTTTTTATGGTGGAGTCCCAAAGGAGTTGTAAATTTCATTAGGATATTGTCCATTGTATGCTATAAGCATTACATATAATAATTTAAAACACGACTATATTCCTACTGAGGCACCCGAGGWTAGGGAAAGAACTATATAATAAGTAGGTGTAATAAACAGGATACGGACAGTTTTAATTTTCCCCTTTGCTAAAACTTGCCATTTTTAAACATTTTTATTGTGACTTTTTATAAAAGAATTTTWAAAATTCACTCCAATACACATGCATTTTACAACAAGGCTATGCACCTCAGAACCTTCCCTACACCCAAGAGGGTCAACTTAAAAATGTTCAGCACAGTTTAAAACACCAAAAATAATTGAGTAATTTACAGTGAAAACYACCCAGTATACTGAGGCATTGGAAAGAAGTGAAAGGTTAAAGACCCTTGCAAGATATTTACCAACCAATCAGCTTTGTTTCCAGCACATTATTTGCTGCCTCAACCTCATAGGTATGTCAACAATTCAGAAGTCTCCAGGGCTGAGGAGTGCATTTAACACCAGGTTTTTCTTCCCAGAATTTCTCCTGTTGATACAGGATTCTTTCCAGATCAGCACTATTTCAACAATTGCCTATCTGTTTCAACTTGAGATAGGACAGTAATACGGAAATAATAACAACAATACTTACAAGCCATCATGAGTCCCCAAGACCTTGTCAAAGAACTTTAATTAAACAACATATGAACTACCCTTGGTAATTGTTCCATGGCATGTTAATGTTAAATTCCTTTGAAGCTAATTTCCTTTTTGAGTCTCAGAAAGCTGAGACTTTAAAGTAAGTAGGTGTTGTTTGCTGCCTTATCTCTTTGGCTGAGTTACACTTCTGTGGAGGCTGTGGAGTGTATTTCAGCTTGCTGGGAAGCTGCTGTTGTAATCAAAATATTTCAAACGCTTTGTTCCTTAGTTGGAAGAGCCGCTCAAGTAGTTGCCCCAAGCATTTGAGCAGAAGCACCAAGATAGCACCCTTTGTTCTACCAGATCAACTCTGTGAACTATGAAATGTTCATGTTGTTTCCTCCTAGAATGTTCTTTCTCCAACCACATCCCTATGTCCAATCCTACTACATTTTTGAGATTTAAAATCCTAATTCCTCCTTGAAGCTTTTCAAGATTCCCTTCAGCTGGGAGTAACATACTTCTAGACTCCATAAGGTCTTAGCCGTTCTTTTGGTTCCCTACTTTTCATTTGTTAATACATTTTTCTAGTGGGAGACTCCCTACTTTCAGCTTTAAACTTCATTCTTTAAAGAAGGCAGAGTATGTACGTTTAATTGAGCACTTGCAGGGTCCTCTATATAAACATACTCATTTGACGGTTGCTGAGCTCACCAGTGGCTGGTCTACCATGTGGTAAGAGAGCATAGGTCATTTGAGAGGTTGGGACTAAACTTCCAAAAAAATGTTGATGGACATATACTTCACATGTGAAAAGGATCTTCATATCTATCACATCTGTTTTAAAGGTATAATGAAATGCAAACACATGAAATTCTAAAACCCAATGAAGCAAATAGTAGATGCTCCATAAATCTCCCTTCCCTTCAGTTCAAGGCTCCATCWGTTTAATAGTTGATATCTGCCTGCTCTTCCTGACTGGTCACTTTCATAGGATAAGAAAGAATATCTAATATGCATCGTATGTGTCCCCTAAGTAGAGGAAGCTGATTTAGCTGTAGTTTAGCACTGGACCTGTGAATGTTCAGACTGCAGGGAGCGTCCTGAATGATTCTGCTGGTCAGACTGGCTTCATTCATTCTGGAGTCTTTAGCTAGACTCCTMGCGCCCTTAATGTATCTGTTCTGTATTGTCTAAATCTTCTCACCCTCTCAGAACTTCCTCAATTTTATTTAGAGGAAAATGGGAAGGGACCACAGAAAGGCGGGTCTAGTAAATCCCTCTTTGCATTAATAATAAGAAAACTTTATGACATAACTGATGAGTGGTTTAGAAACTTAGGTTTAGGAATTCAAATACCAGTTCAACCACTTATTATCTATGGGGATATGAGTACTATTTAACTGCTTAGAATTTCCTTATCTATAAATGGGAATTAAAATACCTAGCTCACAATTAAAATATATTACAATGAATGCAAAACACACAGTTCCAGTCTTGGGATATAGTAGGCACTAAGTTACATAGCTTACAATCATTAAACATCTCCTTACTTTTTAAAGTATGTAAATATAAACTGCCTGTCTCTTTAAGATTCGTTCATTGCAAGTGGAAAACAGTACAGCCTCCAGACTCTGCTGCTGTTTTATATGTATGGACTGGTGTTTTAAATTTGTTTAACCCCCCTAATGGGTTCTACATTTGCCATTGCCTAAGTTATTTCCTACAGAGACAGTTGAACATTGTAGGAACAAATTGATATCCCAACTTCATCGTCCACTCTCTGTAATAAGCCAACAACAACAACAACAACAACAACAATACAGTTAAACAACTAAAACAAGTGTTATCGTGCCATTCTGATCATCCTACTTTAGCTGGTGAGAAAAGGATACACCATATTCTCTAATTTTCACAACTGGTTTGCCATCTTTCCCTTCCAACTATCCTGTCACTGATTGTGTGTGTGTGTGTGTGTGTGTGTGTGTGTGTGAGAGAGAGAGAGAGAGAGAGAGAGAGAGAGAGAGAGAGAGAGAGAGAACCCCTTTCACCTCAGGGTTTAATTTTTTGGAGAAACCAGCCTTGACACCCACATGTACTTTGGCGGTGGTGGTGGTGGGTGGGGACACACAGCCCGCGCTCCAGAGCCGGCTAGCTAGGCGGGCGGGGTTGTTGCCAGCAGGGCCAAAGTCCCCTACCTCCTCCTCCACCGCAGGGTGGTGTGGTTATAGCCCAAAGCCTCCTACCCAATTTGTTCACTTCCTAGATCAACCAGTCGCCGTGTACATTGGGTGGAGCGCCCCGAAGTACCTGGGCGAGGCAGCACTTTCCCAATTTACAGGTTGTAAGAGCGGCAGTGCCTTCAGGTTTTCTTTTTAAAGTTACTTATGTAGTTCTGGGACTCTAGAGCTAAGGGCGCTTTCTCCCAGAAAAATATTTGTGCACACMAAAATTCTGCGTAGAATTTCAAAGTGTATATGGATCCTCTGAGTTTCCAAATTAAGTGCCCTCTAACAGAGGGGTGAAATCCAGAGGAATAAGCAAAAAAAGGGCTGAAATATTCGGCTGAATTCTTCAACATAGATATATGCGTTTTAACATGCATAGATACATTTATGGCAAAACTGAATAAGAGGTGATGGGGAAAACAGCATTTTCCCCAAGTAAGCTGGTCAGAGTGGAGGTGCAGCGGGTCATACAAAGGGACGACGAGCAACAGGTAGGCAAAACACCACAGGGTTTCGCACCCCCAGAAAGCAGCGAGTCGGGCGACTAGGTTGAGGAAGATGAAGGAGAGTGGGTGAGGGACAGGGTGGGGGCAGATAGGGCGGCGGGGCTCTACTCACCGTTGACCGCAAAGCTCCGGCCCTTCCGGGCGAGGGTCTGCTGCACCTGCTCCTGGATCCGCAGGCTCTTGGCCGCCTGGCCACTGCGGCCGCTGCTGCCCGCCAGCTTCAGCTTGGCCTCCGAGGGCAGAGCCAGGCTGGAGCTGTCCAGTTGTCCCAGGATCTGCTGGCCCAGGACGGTTCTGATGTAGCCGCACTCAGCCGGGGAGCCGGGGGCTGCCATGGCGCTGGAGTAGGCGACCCAGCCGCTGGCTTGCCGCGGGACYTGCGGTGGAAGCCGCAGCCGAGCTGGGGGCGCGGGCGCAAGCCCCGCCTCACCGCCGGGCTCCGCCCCCGGACCCGCCCCCCCGCGCCGGTGAGAGGCCGGGTGGTGGGGAGCTGGGCCTCTGGGGCCGCGCGCTCGGCCYGCCCGGGGGAAGGGGGCGCGGCTCTGGACGGGCACGCGCACTCAGGCCCGGGAGCGGGGGCGGGGCCGGAGCGGGGCGCGCTCGCGGACACCTGGCGCGCATGACCCGCCCGCGGGGAGATCGGGAGATGCGCGCGGGCGCGGTCTGTGCGGGGTCGCGCACATTGTGGAAGTCACCTCGGTACTGCCTGCYAGCGCTGCACCGGCTCTGCTGCCTGGCTCGGACTCCGCCCAGCCCTCGGGAAAGATATGATTTCCGTTTGATTGCGGGAGGGGCCGCCCTCCAGACAGGTGCGCCCTGGAGAATCACTTCTGTTCTTGAACTGAGTTTTGCTTCTGGGATTCCCGAGCGAGCAGTCGATCTTGTTCGTCAGGCTCTGACGGACTGTTGGAAATATTTCGTGTTTTACCTGGATCTGAGAGTGAGAAAGGGATAATAGGTAAAGCGGAAAGGGCAATATAAAGAAAATGTGCCAAGAAGATGACGTGTGGGGAATAAAAGACTTTTTAAGAGTTCTCCCTTAGTACAACTTCAGGACTGTGTACTTTGCACAGATGCAGTCCCAGAAACATATGTTCTTCCTCATTGAGAGCTTCTGTTTCCCTTGCAGATACACAAATTGTACCCAGTACACTCTTGCTCACCCACTTCTCTCTTATGAACACACCCACAGAGAGAGAAACTCCAATAAGAAGCATTAGGGAAGGGCTAACTTTTAATAGGTAGTACTTTTTAATAGTCCAGTTAATGTTGATTAAGTTGTCTTTATGACAGGCTTTTTGTAGGGGGACTGATGGAAGGGGCCTCCGACTTTCACTTGCATCTTCTACAAGTTGTATTTATCATGCTATTAATTATGTTTCACACACAGTTGACTCCTAAGAACTTGAGAGCTAACCTCAACAGGAAGGGTCTTTGACTTTGAAATTTACAACCTAAGCCACTGGTCCTGATTTTCCTCTTTGGACATGAAAAGCAGAAAGAAAAACATCTATCCTTGGTATTAAGTAAGATAATCTTCCCTTTGATTGCTTGGATTTGCATGTTCACTTTCCCTCAAATCTCTCAATTTCTGTAAAACCCCACTTAAGGGGCTGGGGTTGTGGCTCAGTGGTGGAGCACTTGCCTAACATATGTGGGGCCCTGGGTTCGATCCTCAGCACCACATAAAAATAAATAAATAAATAAATAAATAAATAAATAAATAAAATAAAATAAAGGTATTGTGTCCATCTACAACTAACAAAATATAAAAAACAACAACAAACAACAAAAACCCCACTTAATTCAGGCTTGGAGTAACTGGAGAACACAGCTTCCCTCCTCTCCGTTTTCCTATCCACACCTTTCTACACTTGCAGGCTTTGCATTTTACATGAGCATGGGAGGAGGGGAGCAGAGGAAATCAAGGGACTAAACGCTTGAACTGAGTGGTAGTAGTTTTATCACCCCTTCCTAACAGGCCACATGGCCAAAGGTCCTGTGGAATATAATGCTTAAGTGGGAGACTTGTGGATGGTTATCTTGGAGTAATTTCTCCTATCCCAGCAGGACCAGTCTTTAAGTAAATTACACCTTGTGTAAAGCTCAATTATGCAACTAGATGTAAACATCCAACTCTTATGCTGAGATTTAATTGAAAACAGAGGGATGAACTGAAGGTCGAGTGATAATAGAGACTTCAAAAAACAAGCTCCATTTTGGGTCCTTTCTTTGTCTTTTCCCTCTTTCCCTTCTCATGGCTTCTTCTGGCAGTCCCACATCTGCTGCTTTGAAAGATGTTTTCAATACCTGTGCCTGCAGGGTCATCTGAGGCATGTCTTTTGGTTTTTGCTGACCTATGAAAGTCAGCTCTGCCTCCATATAGATCCCGCATCAGAGGAATAAAGACAGATTTTTCTTATTTATTTTAGTGAGCCTCATTTCACTTTTTAATTTTTTAAAAGTTGTAGATGAACACAATACCTTTGTTTTATTTATTTATTTTTATGTGGTACTGAGGATTGAACCCAGTGCCTCACATGTGCGAGATAAAGTGCCCCACAACTGAGCTACAACCCCAGACCCTCATTTCACTTTTTTCCTTTCAGTTTTTTCAAAGTATGACATAATTGATTATCCTGTTAGGGAGATTCCAATAACTGAGCACATATGAATCTTGTTAGTAGATAGATGTGTGATTTGATGGAAGAAGGGTGATAAAAACAGCTTGTGGGGTGGTGATGTAGTTCAGTGGGAGAGTGTTGCCTAGCATGCACAAGGCCCTGTGTTTAAGCCCCGGTCCTGAAAAACCAAAACAAAAGAAAACACCAACAAATTAAAAAACAGCTTTTGAGGCTAAGGCTGGAGGATCACAAGTTTGCAAACATCCTGAGCAACTTAGTGAGACCCTGTCTCAAAGTAAAATTAAAAGGGCCAGTGATTAACTTCAGTGGTAGAGAACTTGCACATGTGAGGCCCTGGTGTGTGAGGCTCTGGGTTCAATCAGTACTGCAAAAAATAAAACAAAACAAAAACTTGTGAGTAAAAAAGATCTAGGTTCAAATGTTAGCTTGTCTTTTGTAAGTAGCATGGCCATAAACAAGTTTCTATATTTTTACATCTCAATTTTCTGATCGGTAAAATGGGAACAATAAAAGTATCTACATGTAGTGCTGTTGTGAGGATTAAACAATAGGTAGGGTATAAGGAATGTTCTGCCTTACTCAGAGATCCGCTTCTAAACTCCCTCACTTCCTTCAGGTGTCTGATGATACGTCACTATATCACCTAAATGATACCCTTTCACATGCACATACCTAGTCACTCACTATCTCACTTCTCTGCTTCATTTTCTACATGGCCCTTATATTCACCACACATAATTCATGGTTTCCTTACTTGTAAATTGTTTTGCTRTTCAAATATGAGCACCCTGAAAGCAGGGATTTTGTCTTGTTCACTCCTGCTCTCCAGGGCTTAGGATAAGTAATCAATAGGTATATCGAATAAATGAATGAATGAAACATGTACTAAGGCATTTGATACCTTATATGGCATATAATGAATGCTCAATGACTGTTAGTAATTAGCATCTAGGCTTTCAAACTCTTTAGGTAACTTGATATCCTTTAAAAAGTCACATGGATTGCCCAGGGTCTTTCAAGCCTGCAGTCAAAGTATAATCTGAGCAGCATTTTCATTCAGACTTGACTGGGAACAATCAATCTGCTAGTTCATTCAGTGTATTAGTGCAAATTTGCAGTGCTGGTTTCTCTTACTTTTTATTCTGGTTACCTTTTGAAATTTTTAATAAATGGAATAACAACCTGTTTTTTAAAAATAGTCACTTGGATATCATTATGGATTCTAGGTAACCCACTCATTTGCTGTGTAATATTCCTTATAAGTAGAAAACAAACTGAACCAAGGTAAATTTTTGAATTTTTGAGCTCCATGGTTCAGTAGAACACTCCCTTTGAATATAAGAAACAGATACATGTCTGGAAATGATCCTTTGGGTAGTGAGAATTCTATTGCAATAGCAATAGTTTAATTACAGGATGAAGAAGTATTTGGTCTTTGGCATTGTGCCCCCAAACATAGTCTAGATATGCTTCCATTCCAGCAGAATGCAGGCCCTGTCCTGTCCTTGTTTCTTGGGAAAAATGCCTGCTTGATTTCCTAAACTGTGAGCAAACTCTTTGTAACAATTACAGGTAGCTTCTGGCCAACAAATTGAAACATGGAAACAAAATGCTAGGAGTCCTTTTGTGATGTTTGCCTGTTCTGCATTTGCCAGCTTTTGGCATTTAGGTTCAATTTTGAAAATTTGTTTTCTACTTTTGTCTTTCATTTACTAACAGAATCTGATTGAAAAAAAAAAAGAGCAAAACCACAAGAGAGTTGAAGTGGAATGTAAATAACAGATAACTACATTAGGAGGCCGCAATTCCTTTTGTTGTGAACCTACAATAAAGATTTGAAGATTCTGGAGTTTTAGCCTTTCATTTTTATCTGATTTGCACATTCTAGTCTTAAAGCACTAACCTTTAATTGTCTTCAGATCTACAGTTACTAGAAGACTAAGTATAGCATATGGTAAGAGTAAATMATATTTTAATGGAGAATATGAAAGAATAGTAATGGCGCCAACAGGCTTTGATTCATTTAAAAAAAACAAAAATGCTTACATATTTCATAAATGGCAACTTGCATGAAATATTTCCTGCTACTATTTTCCAGGGTATTAATATCTATTGCTTTTAAAAACCATTTCCTAACTTAGTGTAAGGGATCTGGCAGGGAAAAATTAATTTAGACCTTAGAATTTGTTTCCTCTTTTAGCAAATGGATATGTTGCCAAGGCAATTGGTAGCAGTTTCATCATTAGCCACATAATGAAAATGGAGCAGGTCTAGAAAAGGAAGCAATGAACATGTAGGTGCTGAAAACCACTCTCTGATGAGTACTTTCAACGGCAGCGAGGGCAAGGTATTTATCTCTAATTAAAATATTTGTTTGTGATTTGGGGTATATTGCAAGTGTGTAGGTCTGAACTCTCCTTTTTATTATTAGGGCATAATAATCTACATAGTATTTGGATTCATTTTGACAAAATTACACATACTAGAAACCTCCTACTTCTTAGCAGACCTCAAACATGATGTGGGAGGTGGAAACCAAGTAGGSGACCTGGCAAGAAGCTGGCAATGAGCAATTTGCTCATGGTCACAGAGGCCTCAATCAGTTCCTTTAATCCTGACTCACAGGCATGTAAAAGGAAGGTACATCAGCTTCAACAATTATCTTTTGGATGGATGACCACAGCTGCTGTGTTGATGGTTGCCAGATCTTTCACCTGATGAACAGAGAAGCTGAAGGGAGGGGATAACAMGGCCAACTCCTGGCACACATTCTTGGCTTCATTAGAGATAATGGCC